TCAGGCTCATACCACTAATTGAATTTCCATAGACGACAATGTTAACATATGACGAGATTGCTATATGAAAATGACGAAGAAAGTTGAAAATATGGCTCAAAAATGGGAAATCAACATGCCAGTAATCAACCATATGAAAAAAACTAACATGTTGGCCAGCTCAAACTCTTGCAAATCTCAGGTAAACAAGACACACCTACTGTATTTGGATTGCACCAAGAGAAATCACTGGAAAAACACCAAGATTAGAACATCCATTAACACACAGAATAAACCCACAGGTACACAGCCGCTAAGTAGTAAACAAAAGACCACATGTTGGTCTCACCTCTGACCCAGGTGATTACGCCCTCAAACAGGGAGCACCTGAGAAAAATAATATTTAAAAAATTTCATTGGTTCTTGCTGGGCATTTAAATTGAGGGCTACGAGCAGCCATTGGTTAATTAGTGGCATGAGACCTTCAGAGAAATAAGAAGGTTTAATAAAGTTTTTGTTGATCTTATATATGATGGAATATCATTAGACGAGTAATTTCCCATGCAAAAAAAATCCCCAAAATTTAAACCCTGGGAGTTATTTATCAAAATCTACCACTTGGTGGCGCCCTATACCCAGACAATTAGTTGTAGAAAGTGGCAACATACACACTCAGCATAACACCAAAATAGATGGTAGGCAATGAATATAAGCCTGATTATTAGATGCAGTACTGTAAAATATAATGTTCTCATTCACCACAAACAAGTACAGACCAACGTTTGGCATGATTAGTAATTTTAATTAATTTCTAGAAATAATACATAGAATAATGACAATTAAAAGTAGTTTATCACTATAATTTAAAAAAAAAAAAAATTCTACTGAATCAAAAGTCTCAATTCATCAGCTCATTATTTCTCCAATTAATTAAAAACAAAAAAACAATTCCACGGTATCTGCATTTAGGCCGGAGACCTGTGACGGGCAACCTTGGATATACCAAAACACAACAGTGGTTTGATTTACCATGGCCACACATAGAATTTGCTCAACATAAAATACTTAATCAAATCTTATGTGAAAAAAAGTAGTTCAACGAAACAATTTTATGATTTAAAAAGAAATAAAAATAAAAATATACAAACAAGAAAAGGATCTAAATATAAAATACTTGTATTACACATCCCTGATCAAATTAAATTCAAATCAACAGGATTTCTGATTAATTGGGGGGGGGGGGGTACATGCACTGTTCAATAATAAACTCAAGATGGGATTAATTAGCTAAAAATTCACAAAAATTCTGAGAAAAGAGCAATAATTGTGAAATTGAAAGAGTTGTACTACTTGGCTAATATACTGACAGTATGCAAATCTCTTGTCAGTGACAAGATACACAACACAATTTTGAGAATTTATTTAAATATTTGGGATTTTGACCTCATTAAACTTTGAATACGGTACATTAGAAATGACCGCACTACAAATTGTTAAGTTTGTCTGCCATAATGTGAAAATAAGACAAAAAACCCATAAAATGGGGTTAAGCATTTTTCTCAGAATTCCTAGAGCCATTGAAATTAGTGGTGACATGAATAATTCATTGATGAATGAATAAAATTTTTGGACCAGTTTAATAAAAACATTTATATTTACAGACCACAGCCCAACCACAGCCAATTAATAAGATTAGGGCAAAAAATATACCGAATTACAAATTTTCAAAATCTTCAACCAAGATATAAGAGATTGACAGAAATGGGTGAAACGCATAGCAAAATATAACATTTCTGGATAAAAAATTACTCCATTGTGTCTAAATAGTTGAATACAAAGCAAGAAAAGTGGTAAAATAAAAATAAAAAAGATTCCCAGTTACTTTGCACTATACCTGCCAAATCAATGGAGCTGATCTCATGAAATGTGTGCTTGAACACACAACCTCATAATTATCAGATCTATGCAAGGTCAGGAGAGGTCAAAAATTATAATAATTAGGTCAAAGTAAACTTTGGTTATGTAAGATGAGATCTGCCAAAAATGACTAAATTCCAGTGAATAGAGCCATAATTATGGTTAAAACAACAACCTCAGGTGGTCCTAGGCAAACTGTTACTTCAGGCTCATACCACTAATTGAATTTCCATAGACGACAATGTTAACATATGACGAGATTGCTATATGAAAATGACGAAGAAAGTTGAAAATATGGCTCAAAAATGGGAAATCAACATGCCAGTAATCAACCATATGAAAAAAACTAACATGTTGGCCAGCTCAAACTCTTGCAAATCTCAGGTAAACAAGACACACCTACTGTATTTGGATTGCACCACAGTCCCTCTAGATAGAGGGACTGTGATTGCACCAAGAGAAATCACTGGAAAAACACCAAGATTAGAACATCCATTAACACACAGAATAAACCCACAGGTACACAGCCGCTAAGTAGTAAACAAAAGACCACATGTTGGTCTCACCTCTGACCCAGGTGATTACGCCCTCAAACAGGGAGCACCTGAGAAAAATAATATTTAAAAAATTTCATTGGTTCTTGCTGGCCATTGGTTAATTAGTGGCATGAGACCATTATGGTCCAAGATGGGGGTATACATTTTGGTCCAATTTGGTCTTTTTTTTAGTAAATGCCCTCATCGTCAGGTTGTGTAAGTAAGGTATACCAACAAATATACCCATCAACATTTTTTTAGTAGTACTATAGTAACCACTAATTTCAGCTGACATTGATATTACAGATGTGGCGCACCCGTCATGCTATGAAGAAACAAACAAAGGAGAGTGAAAATGCGCCCTCTAGTGATCAAATACTGCAACACAACAATGTTATTTTTCAAATTATCTTACGTTACTACTCCGAAATAGATATTTTATGTATACACATTCTCTCTACAGGAACTGGTTATTTGTATTCAAGGCACTATACACCGGG